AAACTGAACCAGACACACCTGTTAAAAGGTTCGACTCAAACCCAAAATTTTTAAGTCGAGTTTTCATATCTTTTTATATATTGACATCCCTACTGATCAACTATGTACTTAGCATTTTGTTCAGTTGGGTCGGTAAAGTCTTACCAATGGATCTAATGGAGAGGAATTCAGAGCTTAACTAACCCACTTCTCCATGAAAGGACATGGTCAAAGAGCCTTATAGAGAGCACTCAATTTGGAGCTACAGGTGCTGCAAGTTGCAGCGACGTGCTTGCCTTCTCCTCCCTTTATAAGCAAAGATGCTGATAGAAAGTTGCAACTGTAACAAAAGGAATCAAACCCAAATGACGAAGGGAAGAATAATTCATCAGGAATGGCTGTAGATAGTGCTCTGTGGAATATTGAAATCTCCTCACACTTTCTGCACAGTCATTAGCCACAGCTTTCTAATTAACTTTGTAAAAAGCTGATGAAATTTCTGCTAGCTGAGATTTTTACGATATATCTGATTGGGACTGTTTTGAATGTAGTTTTACTGTTAATTTCTTAGACAACTTGGCAGTTGAATTCATTGATTTCTGCTGCATGCATATGTGGCTGTGAGATGAAACACGTACGTCAAGACTGGAAGGCTATTATTGTGGAAAGAGAAGAAGCAACGAGGCCGGCGTCTGCATGAACAATTAATGGATTAGTTACAAGGTCTTTCAACTGTAGCTTGGGGGGTCCCAGGATGACTTTTCAAATTGCAAAGAAGATATAAGATATTATTTAGATTGAATAAATTATTTTTGGGGATTTACATGCATATATACCACTTTATTTCATATTATTTACATATCTAATACTTAAAATATTAATATTACATGCCTACCACAAGTTGAACAAATATCGATGCATGAAATGAAATATTAAAGTTTATATGATGGTATGAGTGGTAGGAATGAAATATATGAGTGATATATTTGATATTAAAATTGTATATGTGTGGTAGATATGTAATATAAATATTTTAGGTATTAGATATGTAAATAACATGAAATATGAATCATAAAATTAATCTAATCATATATTATTTTATGCATAGTTTTGTGCAAATTAATTTAATGATTCATATCTTAGGAGTAAAGTACAAGATTGATGTACCTGCAACCATAATAGCTATAAAATAGCATGTTAAAGATAGATATAATAGGGTATAATGGGAAAGCTATAATTCAATAGGGTTATCATAATAATTATGATACATCATATTATAAGATAAATACAATATAATATAAACAAACAACTATAATATGTCATAATGAAAGATATTATATATATTATTGTCAATTAGTCATATTCTTTCAAAATTCATACTAAAGCTAAATATTTAAATATATTTTACAAAAACAAGCGAAGTAATAAATATTAAAAATGCAGTGGTTACTTGGCCTCCTATGTAATAACCTAGAGTTCTTAAATAGATTTATTCTTAAAAAAATTTGAGAATTTTGAACTGTGGCGCTGCGACACAGTGATTTCTAGTGCAACGACTCTGGAAGGTGCAACGCTAGGGTATTGATACTCTCGGTTTCACAGTAATTATAGAATGAATATGTAGCGTTGCAGTGTTGGATTGGAGCGTTGTTTTAATAGGCACTGAAAAATATTTTATATATAAATTTATCTTCACTTAGCCCATCTCTCTCTCTCTCTCTCTCTCTCTCTCTCTCTCTCTCTCTCTCTCTCTCTCTCTCGTTTGGCTTGCCGGGTAAGGAAGGGAAGGAGAATAAGAGAAGTGAAGGTGAGAGAGGAGAGAGACAGCATGCTTTTGGTTTACCATTCATTTTATTTCTTCTACGAAAATTATTCTGATCGTTATAGGTAACTTCTATCATATCTATGTTTTCAAATATTTTGACTCCAGAATTTATTCTTGTGTCTAAATTGATATATATTATATTTTCTACTCATTTAGTGAATTTTCATTACATAAATTTTGATCTATTATAGTATTATTATTCATGTCATTTTAATTGGATGATTTTGTACTTTCACCAGTTGAAATATTATTTATGATATTTTGTACAATTTGAGTAGAATGAGATAAATATTGATTGTTGGCATCCTGATAAAAGCATAATGATGAAACAAGATTTGTGAATAAATATGGGCATGAGAATGAGTAATAGCTAATCGTTATTACTTTTATAATATTATGTATAAAAATAAGAGAAGTTGGTTTATTACTAAAGATTGTTTTATACTTATACATGATGGTAGGCTGACTGACTTTCCTTTAAATGTTGTAGTTTGTGTTGATATCATCTATTAATTCACATGATTTACTAAGTGGGAGGTATAAGAAGTAATTATTATGCTGACTGATAAGAGTGATGACTTTGATTATTGAAAATCACCTAAATAGTGAATTAAGAATACCAACTGGAAAAACACCACACAAGCCATAATTCCTTAATTATTTAATCTGACTGCTTGAACATATATATAAGGCACTAACTTAATGCCACTGATTCATTATTAATGATTTACTGTTATTGAGCATGTGATTAAGATATAAATTTGAGACTGATATAGAATAATGGACTCATATATGATTCCTTAATAGCATAGTGGTGTTATAAAATTGTTTTCATATATACTTCTGCTTTACTAGTTTATACAATTTCCTTATTGTTTAGATAATATTGTTATGATATTTGGTTTGAGAAGAATGATGGTTTACAGCCTTATCATTTTGACATATGTATTGTACTATTTTACAAGCATTATTTTTATTGCATGTGTTTTAGTGTTTCTACACAAACTTAACTCATGACTATGTTGACTGCTACTATTATGAACTCAATGATTTCTTTTATATTTTTTATTTTTTATGCTTTGAGTTCAGTTGTAAGATTCTAATGACTTGTTGAGATTTATAAGCTCAATATATATGATTTTATTTAATAATTTCAAGTTAGGAAAGAGGTTCGACAGTGCGAGGCTGATCAGATATATGATTCTTAAGATTTCACTATCATTTTATATTTTTTATTTATACTTTTGAGCTCAAGAGTATGCATACAATATATATGTTGTATTTGTATGACTCCTGACTAGTGAATATGACTTTTGGGTATTTAACACCAATGTATATTGATGTTTTGATCAATAGACTTTTTTTTGCTAGTATTTTATTATTGAAAGAAATTCGATAGTTCTAATTGTAATTATTAAAATATAGAAGATACAATTCTTTTCAATTTCATGACATTATAAGTAACTCAATTATGATCTCTCACTCTATATCAATTGTACATATGTTGCAACACATCATTCGCCCTCATTGAAGGTTCTCTTTTTTCTTTTGGACGGCTGACCTTTCGTTTCAATAAGCGTAATATAAGAAATATGCTTCTTAATTTAGAACCTTCGAGATGTCTTTATCATTAACTATATAAAATTAATCATACTTCATGTGTATAGAACTTTAAACATAAGTCATAATAATTAACACCCAAATCTCATACTAAGCCAATGCATGTACACGCGAGAGACCCATAAGATCAAAATTTTTGAAAATTTCATTGTTAAGACTTAAGATCATCATTAAGGATATATAATTCAAACTAACTAATTTTATATGAAATCAAACTTTGAGTCTTATTCAAGAGCTTTTGCAATGCTTCTTCAATTTTCTTTATCAAATTAATTTTTGTATTCAATGTAATGGTGCATTATTTATCAAACATTCTTCTTTTACATTTTGTGCCTAAAATAGTCATTGTAAAGTAGTATGCCCCATTGATAACATTTTTAAATCTTATAAAAATATAAATAATTTGATTTATAGGGAAAAAGTTAGAGCCAACAGTTCAATGACATGCATTTTCAAGATAATCAACTATGGTTGGGTTCTTCACACATATTTTATCGAAATGTCTACAAAACTAAATTCTTTTATAAGCTTGAAATTCAAGTGATATGATATTCCTCACGATAACTATTGATCTTAAAATTTATCGCAATATTCATTATGATATAATGAGTGCTAACTCTGTATTGTGCCTCTAAAAAAATAATTGATAAAGCTCTGGCGATATTATTATATCTATTAGAAATGAACAATTTTTTTTAATGTGTGCCTATTGACCCCAAACTTTTATTAGGTCCTTTGACCGGACGTAGCTCTACGTTTGGTCATCACTGAGTTACTCGGTTTTTGCTTGGTATTGCTTGACAATAACGAGAAATACTGCTCTGTGAAGATCAATACTGAGTAATACCGAGCAATACCAAAAAATACCGAGTTTTTCTAGAAAAAACTATGTATTTTTTGGTATTACTCGGTATTGCTTAGTATTTTGTCTTCACATAATGATATTTCTCGTTATTGTTGGTATTGCTCGGTATTTCTCATTTTTTGCCTGCTACGTGGCGCGATCTTAGTGCCGGCCGAATGTAGCTCTACGTATGTTCACCGGACCAAATAAAAGTTCCTTTTAATGTGCTTAGGAAATGCATATACGACTCATTATTTTTAGAGCAATACTAAAATTAGAATTACTATCGAAAAAATCTGAAGTATAGGCATCTTGTCAAACTTTCTCCTATCTATTGAAGTTGTCTATGGAAATGTAGGTTTTGTTTGGTACTGCTTTTTTATTGCTTCTTAAAGCAACTTTTTAGTATAAAAGTTAAAGCCGTTCCAAACAAAGCCTAATTGAAATGCATCGACGGTTCCAACTGGCACGCCCGCACGTGAGCCCAAAGGGCATATCACGTGTCACCGGTTACGAATGTTAACTGCTGAGATCGATTGGCACGCCCGCACGAGAGCCAAAAAAACAAATCACGTGCCACCGGTTACAAACTTTAACGGCTGAGATCGGCTTAATGTCAAACACATCAACGCCTACGAGCAATCCACGCCCGTCCTCTCTTATCGAGCAACAAACGGCCCTTATGCTTCCACGTGTCGCTTGCGTTACCATTTCAGGACCAAGAGAGCCAACCGCCATATCTGTCTCTCCCACTTCGTCCCCCCACTCCCTCTTCTTCTTCTCCCTCCAAAACCTAATCCGTAGCATAGATTAAGCAGTTTCCAATTCTAGGTTTTTACTTGTTCCATGCGGTTGCAACTCCTACACGCCGACAAAACCTGAAACTTCCAATCTCCAACTTGTCGGATTACAATTCAGCAAGTATAAAGTGAATCAGAGTCCTCCGAACCCTAAAAAGGCGCCATCTTTCTTGATCAGCATTCCCGATTACGCCCAAAATTCTTCAAAAATACAATAATTACTAACACTATCTTTAGCTTCCATGGCGGATTCTGACAACGAATCCGGTGGGCATAACAATAGCAATGCCGCCATAAACAGCGAGTATTCTTCTCGCGAACAGGACCGATTCCTCCCCATCGCCAACGTGAGCCGAATCATGAAGAAAGCCCTCCCGGCCAACGCCAAGATCTCCAAGGACGCCAAGGAGACAGTTCAGGAATGCGTCTCCGAATTCATTAGCTTCATAACCGGCGAGGCGTCAGATAAGTGTCAGCGCGAGAAGCGGAAGACCATCAATGGCGATGATCTATTATGGGCCATGACTACCCTTGGCTTCGAGGAGTATGTTGAGCCGCTCAAAATCTATCTCCAGAGGTTTCGTGAGATGGAAGGCGAGAAGGGCGGCGGTGGCTCTCAGCCGCAAAAGGATGGAGGTGGCGGCGGTGGAGGAAATGGGGGTGTGGGTGGTGGTGCTATGGGTATGGGAAGCAATGCAGGGGGTTTCTCAGGCGGCGCTGCTGGGATGTATGGAGGCAGTGGCATGATGATGATGGGTCAGCAGATGTATGGCTCTCCACCGCCGTCATCTTATCAGCATCATCACCATCATCATGAAATAGGCAGCGGCGGCTGGAGTACTTCACCAACGGCGAGCAGCCGGCAGGGGAGGATTTGATTGAATGTTGATTAGGTGATTTCTTTTTGGTTTTCTTTTGTGTGTGCATCGTGTTTCTGTTGTGTCTGTTCTGTTTATGGGATTTGGTATTAGTACATAGAATGTATTATTCTTGATATAGAAGAATTTGGTGAAATATGAAATCTGTAATATAATATTTTCATGATCTTCAACTTATCTTTCTGAAGAGTTGAAGATGAGATATGTAAATTTGACGCTGTAACGTGTTATTGGCAACATATCTTTTCTTCTGATCAGGTGCTTTTTATTAGATCAGGCCATGAATCAGAGAAGCTATAACTATCTGTGTGAGTTTCTTCCTGTGATCAGAACTGTTGAACAGATTCTCTTCAGCTTTACTTGATCAAAAAAGTAAGGATATTTTGTTATAGTTGGTGTCTCTTTGGTTTGTAGCCTCAAAAGGATTTATTATTCTGTGCGGAGTCCGGAGGGTATTCGGAGATCAATAAAAATGCGTCACATCATCCCAAGCTCGGTACCTGCACTAAATACCTCTAAGTACTGCTGGGTACGCAGCGCTTAACCAGCCGATTCTCTCATCCGATGTCCACACAGAATAAAGATAGGACTAATAGTTTCTTTTTTTGAGACTTCAGAGCTTTTAGCTTTTGCAACTACCATGAGTGAGTAAGTGCCTATTGAAGGATATATTCTCAGTGTAAGTTTTAAGGCAGGGGCTGTTTGTATGGCTCTCATTCTATCGTGGTTATGGATAAAAGGAAACAAAATAAATCCTTCCTATTGTCTTCTTTTCTCAGAAAAGATTTCGTGGTCGCCACAAGTAGGATAGCCTGACAAAGACTAAATTTTTTATTTGATTTGGTTCTGATTTTTTGTTCTTCTAGTCATTATAGGCTAACTTCTGTCCTGCTACTATGAAAAACACCAAATTGTGAAGAAATGTTCAATATTTTTTCTGCCAAATACTCTGCAGGCGCCTGTTGCAGCACATGAAATTGTGGTAAAAAACACAACTCTCCTTGGTCTATTGGTTGAAAGCTTAGGCTTCCAACTAAGAGGTCCAAGGTTCGAGTCCATGTGTATGCGTTGTGTGTGTGAGTTTGCCTTAAATGGCCTAAATGTCCAAAAAAAAAATTGTGGTAAAAATTCTTCACTAGCAGCTTTGTGGCATCTTATGCCAGGTAAAAGCTAAAAAACAAATGGGGCGAGGGCTTCTTCTGATATTGTCTTATGCTAATGTTCTTTGTTATAGAGTATATGTTGTCAGAGTTGTTCTACTTGGATTAACAAGGTGTTGTAGTATTGATTCTAAGATTATATCATATTCATAAAATCAATAGAGAAGATGATAAATGAGCTTGATGATGCACTTATAATGTATCGTGTATTAATTAATTTAAGAGTTGATGATTATGATATTGAAGTTAAATATGATAAAGATTGTGATGTAATTAGGGCTATCAAAATTGGGTCACATGTTGGGTTCGGGTTCAACCCTGAACTGATCCGGCACTATTCAGCCCGACCCGAACCTGGCCCGTCAACACGTGCTTCTTCAGCCAAATCCCGTAAATACGCCGAACTACAGGATTCCGGATCATTCTCGGGTTTACGGGTCAACCCAAACCCGACCTGAAATTCGAAACGAGTCAAAAATCAAAACCCGAACCCGACCCGTTTCAGGTTGACCCGAACTTTTTTTGTGTTGGGTTCGAGTTGAGTTTTCAGGTCGTGTCAAATTTTAACACACATAGATGTAATAATGATCGCTCAATGATTTTCATTACTAATCATCCATTAGAGGTTTTTTTTTTTGTGGGGGGAGTGTAACATATAGGTCAATGAAAACAAACTCACACACACATCATATACGTAAGACTCGAATCCAAGTCCTATTTGTTGGTAGTTAAAACTTTAAACAAACCGATTAAGATAACCTATGTTCCGTTAGAGATTTAAACCCATCATATGATGCTGGTGAAATTAATAAATTATTGAGCTTTTAATAATTCAAAATCATATGAATAGCTCAAAAAATATGATTTTTCATATGTTCTCAAAATCATATGAATAGCTCTCAATATTTGAGACTTGAGAGTGCCTATAATAAATGATTATAAATATAATGAATTAATATTTGAATTTTTTACTCACTAATAAAATTTTTAGGGCTAAAGTAATTTAACAAGTTACAAAGAAAATTTGTTTATTTAAAAAAAAAAAGGAGAAGATATTTGATAGTTATAATAATATTCTAAATATATATAATTACTTTTAATTAGTCTTGGGCTTCATTTCAGGCATCTTTTTTTATTGTTTTCTAAATCATCTTTTTAGAAATTTTTATACTAGAAAATTGTTTTAGAAATCGTTAAGAATGATATCACAAATAAAACCTTATTGTTGTTTTGGGAAGTTTTTATTGTTTTAAAGTATATATTCACTTTGTAATTGGTATTACATTTGTTGTGGACTAGGAAATTTGTGGTGGTAGAGCAGAGTTTTATGTCTTAGTTTTGCACGAATGTCAAACACATAAATAGATAAATTAGAGAACTTATATAATATTATAATTTTTTTTATGTAGAAAATTGTAAAGGGAAAAATTACATGTTCTTCTTGCCCGGTTGAAATGATTCCATATATTAATCAAATCACTATGTTGTCATTCTCTAATTTTATATACACAAGTAAAAAGACAAAACAATTCCAAATATAAGGGTTTTAAGTATTAAATGTTAAATTAAAATAGAAGAGTATCTTATATAATTTTATAAGATAGAATTGGTAAAGTGCTGTCACCGAACATCATCTGGAGGTGAATCAGAGTGCACCATATCTCTTTGTTGCTGTGTACCGGTGTTGTGTACCGCAGTGTACCAGGTGACGTGACGCATCTCGATTCGTCTCTGGACGTCTGATACGTCTGATGACCGCACGTGAGCTCCTATACTCAGTAATTGCTCAATACTCCAAAAAAAAATTTTTGAAGTGGCAAATAATGACTACTTTGCACTTCTACAAGAAGTAGCCTCTCCTCCTGATAGAAAAATATATCCATATGTAGATTTTCTCGAGACAAGGCAGTCACTAAAGTCCGAATCTTAATGCCCAAACGCTTTAAGATTATCAAATTTCTTGTAGATAAGCATGTAGACTTTTTTTCCCTTGAAGATACTTCATAACTTTCTTTGTTGCTTTCCAATATTCCAAATTAGGATTACTTTAGTATATAACTAACATTCACACTGCATATGCATTGTCAGGTCTTCTACAAACCTGCGAATACATTAAGCTTCAAATTACTAAATTATATGGAACATTTTTCATTTTTATTTATTTTCCAAATTTTGTTATGTATTGGCTTAAACTGAATTAACATCTTTGATAATAGGGGTGTCAATTTCGGGTCATGGGTCTGGTTCAGGTCGAACCTAGAACATATCCGACACTATTTGGCTCAATCTTAACCTGACAAGTTTTTGCAAACAGGTCAATTTTTTGGACTCGAACCCGACCCGCTTCAGGTCCAGGTCAAACTGACACAACCCGAATGACCCGGGACCAACCAAAAAATAATGATTTTCAGGTCAAAAAATGGGTAAATCTCCTATTTTCGGGTCAAAATCAGGTCAATCTTATGTTATCGTGTCAAAAAGGGTTTTCGGGTCGAAATCAGGTCAATTTGGAGTTATTGGGTCAACCCGAACCTGACCCGCTTTTTGAAACCGGTCGATTTGTTGAACCCGAACCCGACCCGTTTTAGGTCCGAGTTGACCCTAACATGAAATTTTCAGGTCGGGTTCCAGTCGAATTTTCAGGTCGTGTCAAATATTGACACCCCTATTTGATAATAGGTGTCATGTCTGCTCAATAATTTTTTTTTTTTTCTAAAATCACAAAAGATATAAGCTTCTTGAGACTATCCTAATATCCTTTTTTTTTTATTTTTTTTAGACTATCCAAATATCCATTAGATATATCTCTTTGAATTTTTAGGTCAATAACATAAGACCTTCATCCATATCTTTTGTATCAAAATTTTATGAGAGAAATTCTTTTACAACATCTCTCTTTGAGATGAACTCTCCTGGTTGTTTCATGTAATTTTTTACCTCTAAGATTTCGTTTGGGACAACTTTCTTGCTGCTTCTTAAAGTAACTTTTTAGTATAAATATTTTATTTTTTATACTAAAAATTATTTTCAAAAATAGTAAGAAAGCTGTCCAAACAAAACTTAAATCTCCATTGAGAAAAGCTATTTTCACATCCACTTGACGTGACTCCGTATCAAAATGAGCTATTGATATTATGATTATCCGAAAAGAATTCTTTTTTAGAAATTGGAGAGAATATTCAGTAACATTCAATTCATATTTATGCAGTGAATCATTTATCTACAAGTCTAAAGTCTTGATTTACATTTTTTTTAATATTGCCTAAAGAATCTCTTTTAATTTTAAAGACCCATTTATTTATAATGGTATTTGCTCCTTGACCCCATTCATCAAGAAACTTCATAACTAAACTGAGATTTTGAGTTTTCTCATAAAATAAGATTTCAAGTTCAGTTACTCCCACTATATCATTACAAAAATTGATAATTAAAAAAAATTGTATTAAAAAGCTGCTTTGAAAAATAGTAAGAAAATTATCTCAAACTAAGGATTCGTTTGGGACGGCTTTTTTGTTGCTTCTTAAAGAAGTTTTTTAGTACAACAAATTAAAAGTTTTATACTAAAAAATTGTTTTAAGAAGCAAGAAGAAAGTCATCCCAAACAAAGCCTAAGCCTTAGGTTTCATTTGGAACAATCTTTATTACTGTTTTTTAAAGCAAATTTCTAGTACAATGAGCTAAAAAAATTTGTACTAAAAAATTTAAAAAAAAAACTAAAATTTTTATACTAAAAAAATGCTTTAAAAAATAATAAGATAGCCGTCTCAAACTAAACCTTTGTAAGCATTATGCTTAAGTGATTAAGATCATTCCCAAAGTTCTTATGATACTTTCTAAAATTGATTGTTTGATTATGTAGATTCTTTAGGTCCTTAAAAATTAAAGTACCAATTCAATTTCCATGCAGCCCAAAGTAAAACAGAATTTTATCATTTTAGTCTTTATAGTTATCACCACTTAATATAAGAACAAGAGATACATCATAGTTTGGAAAAGAAGGAGATTGAGGGTTTGTTTGGGACAGTTTTTTTAACGCTTTCTAAAATAGTCTTTTAGTTAAAAAATTTCTTGAATTAGAATTTTTTTGTACTAAAAAATTGCTTTAGAAAGCAATAAGAAAGCTGCTCCAAACAAAAGCCTGAATTGCAAAGAGATTTCACATGCTTAACTAAATTTATCATGAAGCAAAAAAATAGATTAAAATTTACCCATATATATTATTCCAAAATAAAAATCAACACATCTTTATAATCTTCTTGTGGGAAAACTTATAATAAGGAATTGATTTTATAAATATTTTTATAATGAGACTAATTAATTTCTTCTAAGTAAATAAGTTTAGGCTTGTAGACTAGTAGCACCTTATTATTTTACTTTAAATAGTTCTATTTTTAATTAAGCTAAAATATAATGATCTCCCAATAGTATGCAAATATGATGCTTAGTTGTCAATTGAACTTAAGTTATATGATAAGTAAAATCAAAGTATGATTAAATTTTTTAATTATTTCACAAAACTATTCATTATAATTATTTTGCACAATAATTGAGTTAATATCCATTATTTATGTAAATGATGCTAAGCATGCATGCAAATAGTGTTTAAAAATCAATGGAATATTTGAAAACTCATTATGTGCATTTTAATTTTTCTATAAATTATTTACTTTTTTGCACTTTTATATTATATTAAAGTAAAAAAATGCAAATGATGTCACATTTACTCAAAGATAGCATCACATTCTTCCAAATAGAATTAAATGACATGAAATGCATCAAGAAAGCAATACATAATATTTTATATTTATGATAATAATAATAATAATATTATTATTATTATTATTATTAAATTAGTTA